CGCAACCGTGTCCCCAGACAGCGTTTGCAGCGCCACCTCAATATGTTATATAAGCTTTGGGCTAACACGGCGGAGAGAGAGTTGGCCGCCAATCGTCAGTGTTCTCTTCCTGTTTTAGGCACCCGTGGCAGGTTGCCCAAGCTTGCATGGCGCTCTGTTTTGGATAAAGATAGGCGCACTTCACGGCAGCCTGATTTGTACGGAGTTCGTTGTTTGGAGAGCACCCTGCGCATTTTCTGCTCGAACCTCGGCTGTGACGTGAAGGGCTCGGCCCTCGACTCTGGCAACTTCCTCCTCCGCCCCCCCGACATCATTGTCGACAGCATGGGGGTCTGCCAGGGCAGCTGGGAGAAGGTGCAGCAGTTTGTTCAACGATGTATGAGATTGAACCCTCCCTCTTGCCGTGGGAAAAGCAACCTGTTCAACTCGACCAAGGGCGACGGTTCTACAGGTTGTATTCCTCGTGATGATCCTGGTGAGACTGAAGTTTTAGAAGGTTTGATTATTGATGGTGCTAGTATCCTGGACGAGGTTTCGGAGTTCCTGGGTGATTTTTCCATCAAGCAGCGCGAGGTGGCGAACAAGTCTTGGAAGTCCTGGATCCTGGAAGGTGTTTCAAAAGGTGCCCGTAGAGCCCATTGGTGGACCAAAGAAGTCGCCCCGTGGTCCCCATGTTCTACTCTGTCGGCTAAGGGCGTTGTCTTATCTGATCCCCAAGCTCTTCTTCATTCGGAGGCTGCTCGTTTCTGTGGGTTATGGAAGGCCACAGTGGAGCCCCCCAAGCAAGAGCCCATCGAGTATCAGGATCCGCTCCCCTTCGAGTCGCCCGACTTGCTGAGAGAAGTTGCCATGTCGTACCCCACTCGCACGGCCACCAGTGTCGACGGCTTCCATATGCGTCATTATGCCTCGCTATGTGATGACGCGCTGGTGGCGTTAATGAGTATCATCAGCATCATGGAAGCACCCTCCCTCTTGCCCAACCACCTGCGAGCCATCATGGTTGCGCTTCTGCCCAAGCCTGCTGGTGGGTGGAGACCCATCGGATTGTTTAGCTCGGCATATCGGTTATGGGGGAGGATGAGGAGACCGTACGCTGTCCAATGGGAGGCCAGGTTCAATAAATCGCAGCTCAGTGCAGGAGCTTTCACTGGGGCTGGGGATGTTGCATGGAGGCAAGCTGTGCGTTCGGAGCATGCGACGAGCAGGAAGGATAAGAAAGGTGTTGCGTGCTCTGTGTTATGGGACCTCCACAAGTTTTACGAATCTATTAGGCTCGACATACTTCAGCAGCGGTGTGATGACCTAGGTTTCCCTTCTCCTATTTCACGACTCTGCATGGCGGCCTATAGAGGCCCAAGGTTCATCAACATCAGCGGGATCGTTAAAGGGCCCTTTTTCGCCTGGCAAGGAGTCATTGCGGGAGATTCCCTTGCCGCTACCTTCGCGAGGGTCTCTGCCATTCCCACGATCGACCTGCTGTCGCAGAAAGTCCGCGATGCCCTCGATATATATATATATATATATATATATATATATATATATATGTATCGACGATTACGGTTTGCAAGCTACGGGTTCGGCCAGATCAGTCGTCGATGACATTGTCACGGGGGCCGCTCAATTGTATTCGGTTCTGTCGGACGATATGCAGGTGGTGGTTTCTGAAGATAAGGCGTTTGTGATCTGCTCCGACCAGGCTGCCGGCAACAAGATCAGGTCACTTTTGGGGCATGTGGGTGGACCCTCATGTATTTCTTCTGCCGTGAATCTAGGAGTTGATGACACGGCTGGTCGGCCCCGACGTCAAGCTGGGCGCGGCCGCAAATTTTCTGTTAGGTGCAAAGCTTTCAAGCAGAGGGTCGCCCGACTCAAGAGGTTGAGAGGCATCCTAGGGCAGAGGTATTGCAGGAAAGTTTTCACGTCAGGGCCCCTGGCGGGCGTCACGCACGGTTCGGAGGTTCACGGAGTTTCCGACTTCGAGCTCCAGGGGCTCCGCCAGGGGCTCGGTAGGGTCCTCAAACCTTCCGCTGGCATGAAGCCCCTCACGTCCCTGCGCACCCTTGAGAGGGACCCTACTGCTACCTACGCTGTCGCTCCTGTCATCCGTTACAGCAAGGAGGTCTGGGCCAACCAGGTTAGGATTTTCAAGTACCCCCTTGATTTCAGGTTTCTGCGCGAAGCCTGGGAGACCATCTTCATCAGGGATCCTGACGATAAGGACCTCTCGTGGCGTACTGTGGCTGGGCCTTTGGGGGCCATGAAGCTCTCTCTGCAGCGCATCCACTGGGGCATGAAGTCGTTCACTGAGCTCATTAATGATTTCGGGGAAACTATTGGGCTCACGTCATTTTTCCCCCTCCCTGGTCAAAAAGCTGTTGGTTGAAGGGGTCATCCGCCAGCTGCAGAGAGACTCAGGCCAGGCGTTAGGTGTTGGCATGCGCTTGTGCTACGATGTGGTGGAGGCCCAGCTCCACTCTAGCAAATTCACGGCCCTCGAGAAGGGCAGTATCCGCGGGCTTAGCTGTGGGGCGACCTGGACCAGGGACCGTGCGATCGCCCTAGGCTACCAGCTCGACTCCGATCTTTGCTCTTTGTGCCTGGCTGCTTCTGACAGCCTCTTGCACCGCCTGTGGCTCTGCCCCAACGTTCAGGAAGATCGCGACGACCTTGTGGAAGATCGGATCCAGCAAGATGCTCGGTCGTGCGATCTTTCTGACCCTGCTACCCTCCTCCTCTATACTAAGGGTCTGTTCCCGCACCCAGGTGACTCGGTTCCCCGTCCTCGCGGTGAAGGAGGTACCCAGACCAGGCGGGAAGGAAATCCTGATAGGGTCGATACGGCGGTCTCGGGTCACATATTCATGGACGGCAGCTGTCAGAGACACATCATTAAAGAGTTATCCAGAGCAAGCTGGGGTTTTACAGCCCACGCAGACGACAGTTCTAAATTGTTTAGCGCGTTTGGGCCTATGTGGGCCCCCCTCCCCCAGACCAGCCAGGCTGGGGAGCACGGGGGCCTCGAGGCTTCCTCCCAGTGCCTTGTTGGCCCCTCTACTGGCTACTCCGATTGTCTCAACGCTGTTCGTGCCCACGGTGAGCCCCCCGCCATTAAGCTGTCCCATAAGAGGCCTTATGCGGGGCTCATGTTTTCTAGCTTTTCTTCGTGGTGGACGGGAACCCTCCACAAAGTCAAAGCCCATGCTGTGGACTCGGATGACCTGTCTGACAGGGACCGATTTTTAAAAATTGGTAATGATGCTGCTGATGAGGCTGCCAAGGCTGGCCTCGCCACGCATCCTAGGCCCACGGACGCCCAACTGACAGACCTTGCGCGCAAAATCAGCGTTGCGAAGTCTGTTTGCCGCCTGGCCGCTCGGATTTTGCCACTGTGGCCTCGGCTCGACCTCAGCGGGGTTGTGTTGGCCAGGCCCCCTAAGGAAATCAAAGTGAAACCTGGCACGGAGTTTGAGCATGTGTGGGAGTGGTGCCGCTCTCATTGGCGTTGTGGAGTTTGCTTGCGCACTAAGCATCCCACTCCGCTAATTTTCGGTAGCTCAGGCAAGCCTGCATGTGAGGGTTGTTCTGGCGTTATTCCCGACACTTTGTGGCAGGTCTCGGCTCTCGGACACAGGCTTCTATCCTTCCAGTGTAGCGACGACTCGCCGTTGTTCGTTTGTGTCAGTTGCAAGGCTGTCTCGACCCTGGGTCCTCTTGCTCTCCTGGGTAAGAAGTGCGGGCGCCCTACCAGGAACAATGCTGAGAGATGGAAGTACAGAATATGTAAGGGTCGGCACCCACGACTTCCTGGTGTGACTGTTGAAATCTCACCAGAAGTTGTGAATGCACACCCTGGCTCGCAGGACAAAAAAAAATGTCGTTGAGTCGTCGTCCGTGCAACCTGCGAGCCAGGAGCTGCAGCAAATTAACAATGTCGTTGAGTCTTCGTCTGTCGATACGGCTGCTGCAGCAATCTCAGTCAGTGGCCCAAGTGGCCCGAGCAGCTTCGCCCGCACCAGTCTTTTGCAGGATGGCACCGTTTTGCCGCTCACGGGAGATGGGCAGCAGCGTGAGGAGGTCGTTGACCAGTCGTCTGTCGTGCAGGTCGTGGTTGCTGCTGCCACTCCCCAGTTGTTCCACTCGACCCCTGCAGCCCAGGGGTCGAGGATCCGCCCTGCGTCTGTTTCTTGTGGTGAAGTTCGGCCCTACAAGACGGCTCGACACACCGCCAATTGTGCCGAGTCAGTTCAGCAGGCTGGTTTCTCTCTTCCCTCGGCTCCCTCCAACGAGAGAGGGGCCAGGGGTCACGTGCTGAGCTGTGAGGATGGTGCGGAGGGTCCTCACGCTCTCACGGAGAGCGACCAAGGTTTGTTTCAACGCCCGTCCCCAACTTTTGATTCGGATGGTATCGAAATCCACGGTCTCAGAGCGCCTTCCCACGAAGGGTCGTACCGATGTAGTGTTTTGTCCCACTCGGCCCCTGCAGACCAGGGGTCGAAGATCCGCCCAGCCTCCGATTTTGGTGCCGAGTCTCGGCCCAACAAGTTTGCTCGTCACACCGCCAATCGTGACGAGTCAGTGCAGCAGGCAGTGAATTCTTTTCCCTCGGCTCCCTCCAACGAGAGTGGGGCGAGGGGCCGCGAGACGAGCTGTGAGGATGGTGCGGAGGGTCCTCGCTCTAAAGCTGCTCGCGTGAGCTATGAGCCCAGATGTGGCTCGAACTAGCTCTTTTTGTCGGGGCCCTTGGGTTGCTGCCGAAGTCAGCCACCGCATGAGGTCACCGCTTGGATCCTAGCCTGAGACCAGGCTAGGAAAAGGTCCAGGTGAAAAAAATCCTCCTCCTCCTCCTCCTTCTCCTCCTCCTCCTCCTCCTCCTCCTCGTCCTCCTCCTCCTCCTCCTCCTCCTCCTCCTCCTCGTCCGCCGGGCGAGGGCAGAGAGAGAGGGGAGGAGAGCAGGGGCCGCAGGGGCGAGAGAGGGGCAGGGGAGCGGCGGCGGAGACTTCTTGCTCAGCCCGAAGTCGATCAGGTATATGTGGTGGCACTTGTCCTGACCGGGCCGGCGCACGACCCGGGAGAGGAGGGATGCGGGGGAGCGAAGCGAAGGGATGGGGGGGAGGAGGGGGAGCAGAAAAGCAAAAAGAACACCCTCGTGGGAAGCACCCCGACCAGCGAAGTCCGTCCGGTAAGCACACCCAGAGGGGAATCGCAGAGGGCAGGGCAGGGCTGGTAAACGCCCGGAGTCGCGCAGTTTTCGCCATTGGTGAGGGTCGGGCTGGTCCTTCCTCCCTCGAGAGGAGAAGCAGGCAGGGAGGGAGGGAGGGGAGGTGAGGGCAGGAAAGGGGGGAGGGAGGGAGGGGGGGGAAGGAGGGAAGGGAGGGAGGGAGGGAGGGAGAAGCAGGCAGGGAGGGAGGGAGGGAGGGAGGGGAGGGAGGGAAGGAGCAGGGGGAAGCGGCCGGGCAGGCAGGCGAGTGAAGGGAGGGCAGAGCGGAGGAGCAGGTGGGGTCGGGACTGCAGAAGATGCACAGGGGCGAGAGGTGGAGGCTATGGTTAAGTCGGGCCTGTCCCCCTACAGGGGGATTTTCGACGAACACTTAAAAATACCCCACTCAAATACACTCAAAATGCTCAAAAATTGTCAAAAAAATATCCCCAGACTAATTTTTGACTGTTTTGAATTTTCCGCCTGTAGAGGGACGGGCCCGACTTAAGGCTATGGGGACCCAAGCGATCGGCATCAAAAGATCGATTCTACATTCCACATTAATTCGGGAATCACCTGTGGTAGGTTGAGACGACTGCCGTCTTGTATCATTAGCCTGGCGAAGAACCCAACCATATGCAGTTGTCAGTACCGCAGCTGCGGGTTTCATCTTCAGTGGAACTCCCCATAGGACAACGGAACGTGTGAGGGGTGTGCCGAGATGGGTGCCACTGGGGCATTCGGTGAAGCTGCCTATGGGGACATGAAACACGCGCGGGGCGTGCCGACATGGGTGGCGGAAACGCATGCGAGGGCCGCCGCTGGGGCCTCCAGTGGAGCTCCCTTTGGGTCCCCGAAACATGATGCTGCTGCGGGGGGGGGGCCGGGATGGGTGGCGGAGACACATGTAAGCGCCGCTACTGGGGCCTTCGGTGGAGCTTCCTATGGGACCACGAAGCGCGTGAGGGGTGTACTGGGATGTGTGGCGGGGACGCATGTGGGCGCCGACACTGGGGCCTTCGGTGCAGCTCCTTATGAGGCCACGAAACGTGTGAGGGGTGTGCCGAATTGGGTGCGGGTGGTGACGCATGCGGGCGGTGCCACTGGGGCCTTCGGTGGAGCTCCCTATGGGGCCACGAAACCTGTTGTTGTGAGGGGCGTGCCGGGATGGGTGGCGGGGACGCGTGTGAGCGCGGCCGCTGGAGCTTTCGGTGGAGTTCCCTATGGGGCCACGGAACGTGTGAGGGGTGTGCCGAATTGGGTGGGTGTGGGCGACGCATGTGAGCGCCGCCACTGGGGCCTCCGGTGGATGATGGGGCCACGAAACCTGTGACGGATGTGCCGAAATGGGTGTGCGGGACGCATGCGCATGTGAGCGCCGCCACTGGGGCCTTCGGTGGAGCTCCCTATGGGGCCACGAAACGTGTGAGGGGTGTGCCGAATTTGGGTGTGCGGGACCGCATGCGGGCGGCAGCACTGGGGCCTTCGGCGGAGCTCCCTATGGGGCCACGAAACGTGTGAGGGGTGTGCCGAATTGGGTGTGCGTGACGCATGCGGGCGGCAGCACTGGGGCCTTCGGCGGAGCTCCCTATGGGGCCACGAAACGTGTGAGGGGTGTGCCGAATTGGGTGTGGGTGACGCATGCGGGCGGCAGCACTGGGCCTTCGGCGGAGCTCCTATGGGGCCACGAAACGTGTGAGGGGTGTGCCGAATTGGGTGTGGGTGACGCATGCGGGCGGCAGCACTGGGGCCTTCGGTGGAGCTCCCTATGGGGCCACGAAACGTGTGAGGGGTGTGCCGAATTGGGTGTGGGTGACGCATGCGGGCGGCAGCACTGGGGCCTTCGGCGGAGCTCCCTATGGGGCCACGAAACGTGTGAGGGGTGTGCCGAATTGGGTGTGCGGGACGCATGCGGGCGGCAGCACTGGGGCCTTCGGCGGAGCTCCTATGGGGCCACGAAACCCGGTGAGGGGTGTGAAGGGGTGTGCCGTGACGCATGCACTGGGGCCTTCGGTGGAGTGGGGCCACGAAACGTGTGAATGCCGGCATGCGGGCGGCAGCACTGGGGCCTTCGGCGGAGCTCCTATGGGGCCACGAAACGTGTGAGGGGTGTGCCGAATTTGGTGCGGGTGACGCATGCGGGCGGCAGCACTGGGGCCTTCGGCGGAACTCCTATGGGGCCACGAAACGTGTGAGGGGGGTGCCGAATTGGGTGTGGGTGACGCATGCGGGCGGCAGCACTGGGGCCTTCGGCGGAGCTCCTATGGGGCCACGAAACGTGTGAGGGGTGTGCCGAATTGGGTGTGGGTGACTCATGCGGGCGGCAGCACTGGGGCCTTCCGCGGAGCTCCTATGGGGCCACGAAACGTGTGAGGGGTGTGCCGAATTGGGTGTGGGTGACGCATGCGGGCGGCAGCACTGGGGCCTTCGGCGGAGCTCCCTATGGAGCTACGAAACGTTGTACTGGGTGGGTGAAACGCAGGGAAGACAGGGAGGAGGAGGAGGAGGAGGAGGAGAGGAGGAGGAGGGAGGAGGCGGGAACGCGGGGCACCGTCTCTTCAAAACGAGGACCCAACACCACAGGATGGTTGTGAAAAAATGCCAAAACGGCAGCGAAGCTTTTACTGATCTAAACTTTCACTTGGGTAGCGAAACTCAAACAGCGACAACAAAAACAAATGCCATGTTCAGCCTGCGAATTGCATTAAATTATTCGAATGTTCCCCTTGAGCCAATCCACGTGTATAGTTTTCGCACTGGTCCTGTCAAAGCGATATTGAAGTTGGCATGAGATCTGGCGCAGTCGGGCTCAGATTGCCTGCAATCGCGTACACAAGAACCCATGACGACCGCATGTCGCCGCGTAGATTGTCAGAGGCTGCCGAATGAGAACAAGCTGGCGACTGAGTTGTATCCTACACAACATGTAGCTTCGTAACCCTGTGGATCCTGTTGTAGCTCCGGAGAAAGGGACATACACACCATGACACATTGAAACGGGCCGAAAACGTCAACGACATCTTCGGCTCATGGCGAAAGAAGAGGCAACGAAGGCGCCACTGTTGGGAAATGGAGGGAGACATGGTCGGTTCCTTAATTCCAAACATGAAATTCTCTGGCTTGATGTCGCGGTGGATGATACCCTGGGAGCTGAACATTATCGTCCTCCTCGTCCTCTCCTCCTCCTCCTACACCTCGTCCTTCTCCTCCCTGTTCGAACTTCCCCTCCTCCTCCTCCTCCTCCTCCTCCTCCTCCATCCCTGCTCCTTATAAAGAACTTCTCCCTGTCGCACCCCCATACGTGTCAGTAGGGCGGGCAGGGTGTTTCGTCTGGGACTTCCTCCATTTATGATCATGAAGCTTGAATGAAATGTACGACCAGCTTCACGGATGGAAGGCGGGCCGTCTTCAAAGTGCGGCTCTCGCCGTAGCGCCACGCACATTCGTCTGAAAAAGTGTGCAACAGTGTCAAAGATGGAGGGTGGGCGGTATTCAAAATGTCACTCTCGCCTTAGCAATGCACATCTTCGTTTCAAAAGTATTTGCAGCATGTTCGAAGATGAAGTGCAGCTCTTTCGAATCTCAACGCCGCGAATATGTGTTCTTAAAGTCTGGCACAGTTTAGGGATTCCCATGGTCGATATCCCAGGAATGGTTTTCTGGAACGGTTTAGGATTGTCAGGATGCAAGAGTCTCGTTGGTTCGCGGTGTTGACGTCCAAGGAATGGTGTTCTGGCACCATTTAGGGCTGTCAGGACGCAGCGGTCACGTTGATTCGTAGCGCTGAACTCCTAGGAATTATGTTTTGGCACGGTTGAGGATTCTCAGACGGTTGTTTTCCGATTGGGCATTTCCCGCGAATGGAATCTTGCAGGGCCCTGTCAAGGAGGGCAATTGGAGGGAGGGTGTGTTGCAACATTGCGGATGCGTCTTGAATCCCACCAGCCCTCTGGGCGTCGGTGGTTTAGGGCGTTTCCTCTTCCACCCCTCCCTCTTCCCCTTCGGGGAGGGGTTTACCCCTCCCCCTACCCCCTCCCCACTGACCTGGACAGGAGGGGCGGGGAGCGGTCAGAGCGTCCAAGATGGCCCAGGACGGCTCCAAGAGGGCCTCAGAGAGCCCAAGATCGCCTCCAAGATGGCTCAAGATAGCGCAAGATGCCTGAAGATGGTTCAGAAGACGCTCCAACACGTTCCAAGACCGCTCCAAGATGGTTCCAAGTGCCCACAAGAGCATCATTAGAGTGCCCTCAAAAGGCCGAAATGCTTCAAAACCCTAGGTAAAATCAATGTTTCTGGAGTTCTCACTTTTTCGCTTCCGAAGCCCATCCGAGGCCTCAAGATGGCGCCAAGATGTCCCAACTGGGCCCCAACAGGGGCCCAAGAGAGCCTCAAGACTGCCTCAACAGCGTCCAAGAGCGCTCCAAGAGCGATCCAAGAGGGGTCCAGGAAGCGATTTGAGACAGTCTGGAGGGGCAACGCTAATTAAAGCTCTGCCCTTCTTTGATAGATTTGCTCCAAGATGGCCCAGGACGGCTCCAAGAGGGCCTCAGAAAGCCCAAGATCGCCTCCAAGATGGCTCAAGATAGCGCAAGATGCCTGAAGATGGTTCCGAAGATGCTCCAAGACGCTCCAAGATCGCGTAAAGACGGCTCCAAGAACCCACAAGAGCATCACTAGGAAGCCTCTAGGAGCCCAAAAATGCTTCAAAACCCTTCGGAAAATCAATGTTTTTGGCGTTTTCACCTTTTCGCTTGCGATGCACATCCGAGGCGTCAAGATGACTCCAAGATGGCTCAAGATAGCTCCAAGAGAGGCCCAAGAGAGCCTCAGGACGGCTCCAAGAGCGGCCACGAGCGCTCCAAGAGCGATCCATGAGGGGTCCAGGAGACGATTTTTGGAGCTCCTGGGGGGCGAGCCAAGTTGAGGGACCCTCCTTCGTTGATCGATCTCCTCCTAAATGGCTACAAGATCGGGGGTGGACAGAACCCCCTTTAGTAAAACGTGGTTTAGTAAAAACGACCACGGGCCCAAACCTGGCGGGCGCAAGCCTGGAAAATGACGGCCGCGATGCCCTCTCGAGAACCGAAAACGGACAATTCACTAATCGACGTGTCAGGGTGGGGGTTCTGTCCGCCCCCGACAAGAGACGTTTTGGACTCTCCTCTTGGGCCCTGCGCGCGGGCGGGCGGAGCGCCGCCCGCCCGCCCGCAAGGCCCAAGAGCCCACCAAACCGTTCGAAGATACCTCCAAGACGCCACCAGGGAGGAGGAAGAGGCGGAGGAGGAGGAGGAGGAGGAGGAGGAAGAGGAGGAGGAGAGGGAGGAGGAGAGGAGGAGGAGGAAGAAGGCGGAGGAGAAGGAGGAAGAGGGGGAGAAGAACAGCTGCCGATCATCGGCGCTCTTCGTTCGAGTGCCTGGTGTAGGATGGGCTGGTGGGGATACTTTTTTGTTTTACAGCCGCGGGCGGAAGCGCCAGCGGCGGCGAGTAACGGTCGGGCTGCGGCCGAAACTAATTGGCCGGACGCGCGCGCGGGCCGCGGCCGGCGCCGGGCGGCGGGTGCAAGGGTGCTGCAGCCCAGGGAGTCTGACGGCGGGAACAGCACCCAGGGAGCAGTAATTACGCTGCCAAAGTGGCGCGATGCAATACCCCACCGTGTCAGAAGCCATAGAAGGCAGTACGCCCTGAGACACTATCTGAACAGAAGGGAGTCTCCAACCCCGGCGGGAATGGCGCGCAAGGGGTCCCAAGGTGCCTGCCATGCACAAGCATCAACCGAGAGACACGCAAGCTGTCGCCAGTCGGCATCCCGTACGGAGAGGTTGGACTCTGACAGCGCCAGCGAACCGTCGCAGCTTCAGAATGCGCACCCACGCAGCCCAAAGGCGCGAAATTCGTGGTGTCAGAAACCGAACAAAGCACGTCAGGCCCAGGAGACAACCGCGAATGGATGCGAACGCAAGCGGCCATCAAGTGACATGATGTGACGCTATGCGGAAGGTACAACTGTCCCAATCCTCTACCAGGCACAAGTCGCAAGCGACGCCAACCGAGATAAGAACAGAGACGCGTACCAGGGAGCATCTAACGTGACCAGCACAAACAGCCGCCTATCCATGGTACCCTGGCGTACCAGAGTGAAGTAGACGATGGCGCTCTGGGGAGCTGTGCTGCCTCTTACCAGCTGCAGCCCAAGCAACAGCCAGCGGTCACGAAGAAGCCCAGGGAGTTGACCGCTCATCCGGGTGGAGCGGGGGAGCAACGGTGGGATGATGGGATGATGCCGGTGTTTTTTTTTTATCTATTTTTATATATATATATATATATATATATGTGTATATATATATATATATATAAAAAAAAAAAAAAAAAAAAAAAAAAAAAAAAAAAAAAAAAAAAAAAAAAAAAAAAAAAAAAAAAAAAAAAAAAAAAAAAAAAAAAAAAAACGCAGGCGGAAGCGCCAGCGGCGGGCGGTCGCGGGCGGCCTGCGGCCGCGACTAAATATCCGAGCGCGCGCGGGGGCCGCGGATCAGGCGGCGGGGGGGGGCAGCGCCCAGGGCGTCAGAGCCAGCGCGCAATCCAGGGAGTCTGCAGAACAGCCCCTGAACGAGACATGCAACGGCGCATCCAGGGAGTCTGAAGACAAGCACCGGGGAAACCGAGCGCAGCCAAATTGGCGCGTGAGGAGTTCCCAGCAGTTCAAATGTGAACAAGTAGAAACGTTCCCGAGGACGTCGATCCAGGGAGTCTGACGGGTAACACAGACTGACTGGAGACATAAGTCCAGCGGAAGAGCCTGACGGCGAATCAAAGTCGCGACGCCAGAACACGCATCCAGGTGGAATCATGCAGCCAGGCGAACCTTCCACAACTGAGATGCGTCACCCCAGATCCAGCGAGTGGAAGGGCGCCGTAGTGTGCACGATACACGGTGGACCACGTGTCGAGTGCACATCCAAAGTGTCTCAGCGCTACCCAAAGTCGAGTCGGATAGCACCCGAGGGGCGAGACCGCCGCATACCCAAGACGCGCCCCTCAGAGTCACTTCGATCCAGGGTCACGGCGGAAGGCCGTTCAGTGGTTAAGAAATCCAGGGAGTGGGACTGTGGACAGGCAAGCCAGAATCCACAGACACGGGCCAGGACACGCCCGGCGGTGAAAGACCTACAGTAGGGCCAGCGGCCGCGAGTCCAACAGCGGAAGGGCTGTGGACGGTATTACCGAAGCGCGCACCTGAATCCAAAGGCAGGAGGTGCGCACATCGGGAGGAGGGCGGCAGAGCGCCGCAATTGAAGGGGCCCGCGGCGCGGCCCAGAGGGAGAGCCTTGCGGCGAGAGTGCAGCGGCCACCGGTAGAGTAAGGCAGCGGGGCCAGTGGCCTGTGGGTCTGCAGGATGCGCGCTGTCACGCAGAGTGCAGATGGTATTACTGAGCGGCACACCAAGGTCCAAAGGTAGGAGGAGTGCCGCCCAAGGGAGGGGGCAGTGGCGCTGCCCCACGGCTGGAGAAAGAAAGCGGCGGAGGGCCGCAAACAGCGCGTAGAGAGGCGTTGGCGGTGGCGCAAGGCGCTGGGGGCGGGGAGAGAGCGAGGAGTGAGCTCAGACTCTCCAACGGAGCCTCTTTTCATCTCTATCGTCCCGATCGTCGGAGCAATCACCGCCGCGTTTGCCTCCCGTCTGCCAGCGATCTTCGCGCCATCCATCACTCCACTCGCCCTGCCAGCTGCCCCAGGTGTTCCAGGAGCTTGGCGCGCGGTCGCACCAGCCGGTCTGGTGGTAGCTGCCTTTGCCCCTGTCGTCTGTATGGGAGTGACGCAGGTAGTTGGCTCGTAGCCTATCCCAGTCAATACCATAGCCCAGCCTCGTGTTCATCTGGTAGGCGTCATACCCAGTCCTTCCAGGCATCAAGAAACTTGTTGATGTCCGTGGCCGTGTGTATTTTCGGGTCGGATTTGGGCGCCCTGGATCCAGGGATCCAAGTACGCTGCGCGCTTGCTGTCCAAAGCGCGCAGAAGACTGCGCCCAGCTCCGACTGAAGCCTGAATATGCGTCTGGCTGGAGTCTCGTTGGGACGTTCGAGGTCAACTGTGCCCAGCCAGACTTTGTACATGGGGCCGCCCCCCTCCGGACAGGTCAACCGGTTGAGTG